AAGGCTTTTATCTCTTAGACCCTGATGCTGAGTAGGGCTTCGAGTGATGTCACTTCCTACTGCAGTACTCAGAGAAGAAGCATCACGACGCCGCTTTAACTGAATGTTTAGCAATAGTATATAGGGACAGCTTTCTCAAATTCAACTTCTGAAATGAACTACAAATATAAGCAATGTAATAATGTATTTCAAACACTACCAGTTGTTTTTGTGTAGCCTAAAAACTGTTTGCGCTTTGTAAGTCATATAGACTTACAAAGCGCAAACAGTTTTTAGGCTACACAAAAACAACTGGTAGCGTTTGAATGTTTTGGGGGTACATTATTACACTTATATGAGTAAAAAGGATGTGATGCCCCAAAAAGGTTTAGTCCCACATCGCTCAATAAGCAACGAATGAGAGTGTTCATAAAGTAAAGTTAAAGGATTCAAATGCAACTACTGTCAGTACTTTTGACAATGGATTGAGCCAAACAAGTTGCACTCAGTGGATCATATGGCTTACACCGTGCTAACAGGCTTAGTGGTCCAGGGCGTGACAGTAGTTAGCTAGTCGAAAATGTGAAACTAAATGTGATGCGAGACTAAGTGCTACGCACGGGAACGGTGGGAGTCACATCTAGAGTCCATATCACCTAGTGCTGATGCTGTAATGAACTATGTTGCATGGGTACTGGTACCAGTACATGTATACGAAAGGGGCACGACAAACTTGTAAAAGGCAGTGTATGAGGACACAACTATATAAATATTTATATACACATAGACATATTGGAATTAATAATTTACATTAGATCAATATTATTTTTATTCAGGTGTTATGAGAATTAAAATCCCTATAGCATTTTTATCTTTGCTTTTATTTTGTGGATTATAAATTGGAAAATTGCTAGTTTTTGAACTAGACATCCAAATGACTGTTTAAAATCATAGGTTGGAATCTGATATATGTCCAACGAGTTTAAAGAAGTGGATATGGACCGTAGGATATATGTTCAGAAAATGTATGACAAGTGTTTTAAATTAAAATCAAGTATTGCATAATTGAGCAGATGCTCGAATAAATATTTGCATAGGAGTGTCCAAGGAGGTTGGACACATGTATGTTTACGTGTTGGGTACGGGCATGCCACGTAGAAATAAGTAACAGGTAAAAAGGTAATGAACAATTGTCACGTCGCGACAAGGACATTGTGTATTTAAGGTGGGTGATCGTGATGTCCAAAAAAGGTTTAGTCCCACATTGCTCAATGAGCAATGGATGAGAGTGTTTATATAGTAAAGTTAAAAGATTCTAGTGCAACTTTGTGCTAGTACTTTTGGCCGTGGCTTGAGGCAAATGAGTTGCACTCAGTGGGTATTATGGCTTACACCATGCCAACGGGCCGGGGCGTGACAAAGGAACTATCCTTTTCCTTGTAAATGAGATTATTTGATGAGTTGTTAATTCATCAGTATACAATAATACAAGATGTAACAATAGCAAATTAGAACCTTATTGAAGAATCGTAAGACATGGATAGTCTAAAGCATTGCGTCTATCAATACTACCATTAAAGGGAAGACAGAGGGATCCAAATCAAATAATTAGATAATTAAAGAAATATTCAGAGGATAGAGATCACTGTAAAAACACGCACAGCTTTTCATCTAAAAAGAAAGGTGCTGATTAGGAACGATTACCAAACACTCGTTTCAATTATACAACCAAATTAGATGCTACCAAGGGACGGGTTAAGGTATCTAAACCAAATCCTAACTATGACAATTAAATGTCAGTATAAAGCACATATAAATCCATAACCTCAAATTCGAAAAGATTTTAATTCTGGAAAGAAATGTATTTGATTTAAAGGAATTGAACATGGTATAAATATGCATCGACATGCCATGGGGACATGATTGACTCCACCCTATTTGAGCACACGTGCTCCTAACTCACACCTTGAAATCCTTAAGACCACATCAAGTTTGAACACATGTAGAGAAGGTAAGTTTAAAAGATTAATCATTCGATAGTACTTTATACCTTGCCTCGAAAATTTCAAGGGGTTTGTGCAGGAATCCTTTTATTCCATGTGTTTCCTTGCCTTCAGAGATGATGCCTGAAACAAGAGCAAACATCCAACAAGTAATATACTGTTTCTAGGTTCTACATAAAATAACCAGATGAGTATTTCTCTCCTTATGTAATCACAATAATCTACAAAGGCCAACAGTGAGGAACTGTTAAAGTATGCTATCAAGATTCATTCTAAAATAAGAGCAACTGTAACAGATTAAGTGAAGCTAATCTAGTGAGATGAAAGTACACATCGATGCCTGTAAAAACGTGTCACGAAATTAAATGATGTTTGTAGAAGCATCAATATTATGTAATACAATTTTAACAACTTTCTCGGCAAAGAAATGGCCATACATCCAGAATATGTTAAACAATGAAAAGTTCTCTATATATGAAGAAACGTGAAAAAAAGTTGTTATGTTAAATGAACGTTTTCCATATTACCAAAGGATAGATAATGTTATTGAAGATCATAAAGGAACTTAAAGGTTCTACTTTCCATGGTGATCTACTAACATGTCACAATCGTGGACCAATATGAAATTTAAGGAAGGTATAAAGTTGTCAACTCATGCAAAACATGAGGGAATGCTTCATTTGACGTAAGTGATAAGTAATCTATTTGAATATGAAATGAATGCATGAAACAGGTCGACTATATTCCGTCTGAGTGCAAAATTTCACTCATTCATGGACTAAGATCAACCGCAAGTTTCCTTAACTTAAAAATTCAAACTAGTAGACGTGTTTGATTCTACATTATTCAATGGACTTAGTAAAAGGAAAACAAAACACATGTATTGATTTGCATGAAATTCTCGCACGCAAACCCAAATCAAGAACAAGATTAATAGTCTACTGGAAATGTAATCAGTGCACATATAATAATTAGAGAAACTGTGATTTCAAAATTGATAGATCCTGCGTATTAAACCAAATATTAATTGAATCAATTCGAACAATCAAGAGGAATCAAATGGGAACAGTAAACAGAATAATGCACCAACAATATGCATGCCTTCATGGTAAACCCTTTATATGGAGAATGGATCATATTTACAATAATCTCTAGTTTGACTCAATTAGAAGTCATAGAGACATTTCAACAAACAGATGGCATGCAAGTTATAACATTCAATCAAATGCTAGGAGATCACGAGTCCCTTTTGCTCTTGCAGAAATATGAGCTCTTGAAGGATGTTAGGGCTCCATAGAACTTGGACCCTCATCACTGCTCACTGTCTTTACTCCTGTACTGCAGAAATATTTGAGAGATTTATTTCCCATTGTTGGAATAGGAATTTTGGAATTTTAAGAGGAATGGAAGAACAAAAATTTTGCGTTTTAAAGATCAAAAACAGAGACCCTTTTTAGAAATTCAGATGAGAGTAATGTTCTTTTATGGACAAATTTTCAAAACCAACCCTTTTAGCATTTTATTTGCAAAAAACGACCTATTTTGAAAATAATTACAAAAACCGACCTGTTTTCAGCCCAGCGCTGAAAACAGGTCGGTTTTTGTAAAAAAGTCTCCGAAACATCACGGGAGTTCAACTCCCGTGAAGTTTATCGAGAAATTAAACTTCACGGGAGTTGAACTCCCGTGAAGCTTAATTTTGCTTAAAACTCCACGGGAGTTCAACTCCCGTGGAGTTACAGTCGAAAATTTCCAGCGAACCGAGTCTCTGGCAAATTGTGACTGCAACTTCACGGGAGTTGAAATCCCGTGAAGTTGTCGAGTCTCTGGAAATTTGGCACTGCAACTTCACGGGATTTCAACTCCCGTGAAGTTGCAGGTCACCCAGCATGCACAGCTTCTGTGCAGGTTTTGTATATTTACCTGTAAATCATATATATGTCAATTTATTTGCAAACAACAATATATACATGATTCCACAATGAATTATAACTCATATATATGCCAATTTATTTGCAAACAACAATATATACATGATTCAACAATGAATTATAACTCATATATATGCCAATTTATTTGCAAACAACAATATATACATGATTCAACAATGAATTATAACTCATATATATGCCAATTTATTTGCAAACAACAATATATACATGATTCAACCATGAATTAAACACACACGATTATGTATATGAACAACAATTTATCTTCAAAAGTTCAGTATTTGAAAATTCAGGAAAGTTACAAAATTTATCAAAATAAGTTCATATACAACCCAATATAGCTCCCCTCCTTCCTCTCCCTCTCTTCCCCCTCCCCCTCGCTCTTCCCCGCCCCCTGGGTTCCTGCTGATGAGCCTCAACTATCTGAGTATCCGGCTGTGTATGAAGTTGCGAAGTGCCGGCTCCATCGGTATGCGAAGTGCCGGCGTCATCAGCATGCGAAGTGTCGGCTCCATCGGCATGCGAAGTGCCGGCGTCATCGGCATGCGAAGTGTCGGCTCCATCGGCATGCGAAGTGTCGGCGTCATCATCACGTGGCTGTCGACGTCGAGCGTACGCCTGCCCAAATGAGCGAGACCTGTCCTCACGACCTGCGAACTCGTCGACGTGAGTCTTATGAAACACCTGCGCTATGCTCTTCTTGATCCTGCTGATGAGCCCTAACGCCACCTGATCCTGAATCTCAGTCACGTGCGCATCAATATCAGCATCAATGCTATCTAAAACACGGACCTGCGTGGTAAACAATTTATTAAGTATCAACTCAATAAAAAATATTATAATTTAGCTTAGAAACTTACGTAATCTCTCTCGTTCATCCCACTAGGGATGTAACTATCTGTCGGTGGGCGTGGCATGTGTCCAGCTAAAGGCTGTGGGTCACGCGTGATCCATCTACGTGTGATACCCCAATACCAACGCATATACGTGGTATAGTCAACAGCTGTGGGCCTCGTATCCTGTATGCAATCCCACCTCTGAACCCACCTGCCTATGTAGTCCGCACGGACTACGGCCCAGTCAGTCCGGTGCGATGTAGGGCGCCGCCGACGATTGATCTGCTCGACAGGATCTGGAATATGCTGAGAGAG